TTCTCCTAAGAAGTCGATACCTAGTCCTGAGACAGGATACCTAATCATCTCAGGAACAAAGGCCCAATGTAGCCACGAAGGAATGGAAGAGATATCCAAATTGTATACATTTTTATTATTGTATTAAGGATAGAAAAAAAAACCAAAACTATTTTCAGCTCTTCCTCTATTCTATAAGGGCTGAAGGGAATAAAGAAAATCTGATTGACAAATGAGGGTTATTCTGCCTCCTATCTAGTTAACATTTCTAAGTTCATCTAAAATTGTAAAATAGAGCCTGGAATACCGCAATAATGCCAAAATTTTCAGATTTGGCAGGAAGCCAATAGACTCTACTAAAAAAATAACAACATATTCAGATGTTCTTTTTCTAAGAGAATAAGATGCCACATTAAATTTTGAATTTTAATGTGCGTAAGCACTTGAATTGTAGGTACAAATTCACAAAATTCTATGCTTTTTCAATAGTGCCTAAGTGACTCTCAGTGGTCAAGAATTCAGCTAGTGCTTATCTGATATTTGAAGGTTTAGAACATAATTTGGAATCATAGTTAGTACTGGGGGAGGAATCATTTAGTTTTATAATGAGAAATTCCATAATAATCTGTGGTCTGAAGTGTATATGGAACTAGTTATAAGATACACCTCAGTCATCTACTCTATAGACTTCTCATAGATTTTCTCTGATGTGCATTTTGCTAAAGACCATTTCCACAGTGGGAACAGAGATGTTCAGTAGAATATGTTTTAAATCATGAGATTATAAAACAAATCTAAGAACTGAAAAACCTAATGTCTAAAGATTTCCTAGAGCTGGTTCAGGGCTGAATCACTGTAAGTGGTAAAGAACGGTCCTCTAGGAATGTCCACATATGAACCTGGCAATCCAATCTTGACATTGTCACTTGTGCTGTCCTGGGAGAGGGACTTCACTCCTGGATGTTTTTCTCATTTCATCTCTTAACATGAGGAAAGCAAAGTAGATAGATATAGTGTGTGACTACGTAATGCAATGTCAAAAGAATGTTTATCAATGTCATTTCCAAACCCTCTCACCCCTATGGACATCTACACAAAATAAGTTTATTTTGAAGTCATCTGCTTTTGAAGAATCACTTTATTCGGGGCAAACCACCAGTATCCATTCTTCAGGTAAAATTTTTATCTTTGTTTTAATATATAAAATTCTTGTTTCTGAACGTTAACCTTTAGCTCAATAATCATTTGTTGAGCTCTTATTCTCCTTAAGGCTCTTTCTGGGTGATAGACACACACTAAAATAGAAGGTCTGTTGATCTGTCTTGAGGGTTGTATCTATTGAAATAAGGATGATGAATCTGCTGTAGTCAGAAGTCCAGTCATAACATTTTTGCTGTGTAAACTCAACATTTTAAGGGACTCTAAGCCTGTTTCTTAATAATTTTGTAATAATTGCCTTTAACTACTAGAAATGCTTTAAAGAGTAGCAAAACACAGTTGACATATTTATCATTACGGTTTAAATGAATACTAGATATTAATATTGTTATCATTACTGTTGTGTTTTTATCTATAACATTGCAGAGTTCTGGATGGAACCAGGTGTTTACTTAAAACTGGAGAGCATAGTTGTAATTCTGTACTAAGATAGTTAATTTAGTTAATATTTACTACTATGGAAATATTGGATTTGTGCCAATTATTACTCTCTGTTGTATTTACTTTTGTCCTTGGTATGCATGTATTTTTGGAAAGAAGTATTATATTTTGTGCTTTTATTATTCATTGTAA